AAGCCAAGTCCGTGAGCTGGATCGGATCCAGCCCATGGACTTGGCTCAGGCCATGTGCACTTGATTCAAGAACTCCTTTTTTGGGGTGTAGAAAAATTGTCCCTCCCCATTTATAATAGAGTGTAGTCGAGGGGACTTGTTTTTGAACAGCTGTGTCCACAGTTTTCAGACAGTTTATTCCCAAGCCTTGTGGGAAGCCACAAGTCACAAGCTCTACCAGAAGAAAAAGTACCCCCCCCCCCTCACACACACACACACACACACACACACACACACACACACACACACACACAGAGAGAGTTGTTCGAATACCCCCTTTTTGCGGGAAAAACTCGCTTCACTGGTGTTATTGTTATACGTCCCTGGGTTTTGGTCGCAACCAATGTAAAAATTCATTAACACTTATTTTACCAGTACCCCCCCCCCCCCTCCACTTTCTCTCCCTTATAACAGCAGAGTCCACAAAACCCAAAATAAAGAAAACCGAAAACTTTGGGAAGAGAGGACAATAAGAGTATTACCGGCAGGACGAGCGGCCCAGTGAATAAAGGCAGCCAGTGCAAGGGGTATTGTCTGGACTGGATCATCGCCGCTCAGTGGAGCAGGGGTATTCACACAAAGTTTTCAAAACTTTTAACGGTATTTTGGTTCTGTTTACAAAAAGATGTATCGCTTTTCTATTATTTTTTATCCTTACTATTTACATTTTAGTAGTTTGTTTATTTTAGAAAAAAAAAAGTTCATATTAGGTTTGGGTTGAAAGGAGTGCTTCTGTAAAATTGAGTTTGTTCCATGTGTTTGTTTTTAACATATACACCATGAAAAATGAAAACTTGTAGCAACCATCCCATTGTAGGCTAGGGATAGCCACACAAAATATCGTTGTACCAACACCGATGGAAATAGGGTATAGACCGTTCCGACAGTGCGCTTTTTGAGAAGAAATGAAGAAGTCAGGACCGGAACCAGTAGCTAAAGTTGGCTGATTTTTGCAATTAGACACTGCAGTTCGACGTGAATGACCTCTATTAAATCCCTAGTAACTGTCAATTTTAGTTTTCACTGATTTTAGCCTCTCTTTTAGAACTGTTTCCGGTGGTGATTTCATTAATTCTTCTTTAAACGGGCACTGCCGGAACCGTTTATTGGTCTAGAGCGCTGAGCGGAAGTAGAAGAACAAAAACGGAAGAAGGAAGGGCGCCCGCACTGCTCCCCGCCTGCCGCGCCTGCCGCCTCCACTTCTCCCCGGGCGCTCCTCCACTCCGCCCAGTGGAGGAGAGGGGGATGGCCCGGGCGCCTTTCCGTCTTCCGGTTTTGTTCTTCTACTTCCGCTCAGCGCTCTAGACCAATACCCTATAGGGTATTTCAATGGAGCGCTGCCCGGAACTAAGAAGAACAAAACCGGATACAGAGAGCGGTGGTGGGGGCGGGCGCGCGGAG